TACAAACCTCATGAAACCAATATTCTTCGTTTCCTAATGCAAAAATTGATAATAGGCAAAAATTTGCCACTGGAATGGAAGCGTTGAACAGGCTGGTAAGCAAAAGAAATTAAAATATAGAAGCCTAACACGTCCAACAACAAAGCCTTATTCCCAGAAAATTTGGGATCAGCTATATAAATCACTTTTATGCACTCCCTTCAATTCATTGCTAGATCTACTTGAAGATATAGCAACTACAGAAGAACACATTATTATTATTCTGCCATCTCTTTTCTAACTTCTTCTACCAAGATCGTGTCACTTTGATGAACTTGAGCCTCTTTAGTCTAGGCAAAATATGTCCCCACCATCCATATGTACAAAAACAAACCCGCCGAAGAAGGTTTATACAAACGCAGCGTAAGTCTAAAACTGTATAGTTAAACTGTGTATACAGTACACACCAAAAGAATTTCCTAAATGCTCAAGGGAAATGCTCGACATGGAAAGTAGAACTTAAGGCAGGTGGTCTTACATAAGTCAGCAACCGAAATACACAAAATGCTTGTTCGAGTTGAAATTCTTGATTTACCATTCAAATTCTAGAGGATTAAAAGAAGTCAAGCGCACATTAAGAATTGAGGGTTCGGGTAACGGGCACTGGATTGGTTGATCATTGTCTAGAGGCTTAGTTGGGTGTTCAACTGGCTTGAATCCCATAGCAACTTCAATCCCGTGTGTGGCTGCTGCAGCTTCAGTAACAGCACTTGTTGCCTCTGAACTAGAAGGCAATACTTCTCTTTCATCCTGCAGAGTAAAACAACTCACCATAAGCACTTAGACAGTTGAACACATATTCTCGAACCTAACATAACTAAGGATGTAAAGGAGAACATCTTCAATAATGTATCAAATGGTAAAGAAAAATCAAGTGATTGATTATAAATGATCAGGAACTCGACAGATTTTCTACACAAATACATTCTTCATAAACCTAGATACATTATTTAACTACCCAATTAGAAAGTTCTCGACAGGCTCTGTTCAAAATGGTAGATCCAGCCTCTACTGGGATCTTAATGAGATCTAAAAAGTAAAAAATGGAAAATAAGAAGAATAGACCGTGTACAAATAATTTGATAAAATGTTTACAATATCTATTAGGTGAAACAGCCAAGAGAAGTTAGTAACCAGATGCTGCTCCAAGCAAAATATGGTGGCTCAAGCAACCGCAAATTATGTTAGAAATGTACAAACAAAAGTCGCACCCCAGCTAAACATGGGATGGTCCGGGGGATTGATTAAAGGAATTGGTAGTCCACCTAAAGTCCATCTCCCAACAAGTGGTTAATCACGCCTATACTTAAAGCATGTTTGGGAAGTGTTTATAAACGGTTTAAATTTTAACTACATAGAAATGGGTGATAGATAAGTGGGTTGTACTTGTTGATTTCTCGAAATGTGTGGATAAAAAGTGATTTTGAGTGTTTATAAACATGAGCCAAACATAGGCTTAGTCACTCGCACGTTTATAGAAGATTTAAAGATGGCATGTGCCAAGTTAATCCCAATGGTGGGAACATCTGTTAAGGTGAAATCTCGAGGTGGTACCGCCTCCATGGTCATCCAGC